ACAGCCTGGCTTTCGGAGGGGTGAGTCTCCTTGTTGTGGAGTAACATGACTGCACTTGTATTGCATTCCTTCGTTCAGGGGAGGCTTCCTTGGGGCTCTCCTCAGTTTGGATGATTGTTTTTGCAAAAACGGTGAAGTGTTGATGTCTTTGAATTTGAACATAACTGATTAGAATGTTCTTGCTGGGAAGGAAAAGGGCAATGACAGACATCATACCTGTGCATGATTGCCTTTGCATCCAGGCTAAAAGAGACACAGTGTCTACATTATCATCTTGCAAAATTGAGCTGCATTGCTGTTCTTGTTCTTTCCTAGGCTTGTTATGAAGGGTCCCATCTCTAGCGTTTGCCCCTGTCCCTGTTACAATGCAGTTTGTCTCAAAAGTACAAGTGACTTTGCTATAACAATGACAAGTACTAGAAGTCCAGCAGAATGCCTTGTTAAGAGATGCAAAATCATGGCTGCATCTACACTCATTTTTTAAAAGCCCCTGTTACACATTTTACAAGCAAAAGTATTTTATGCATTCGCATGTTATGCACTTGAGTTTGAATGCATTACTTTCTTTTTTCTTAAGACAAACTGAAAAACACAGTGGCACTGCTCTCCCTACATCTCACATCTGCAAAACACATAAACTAAAAGCAGTCTCCCATAGGCCTGAAGTGTGATTCTTTCAGCCCCATACTTAGCACTGTGGTACAGCTGCTAAGTGACTTATTTATTTTTAGATGTGGAGAGTTCAGTTAATTTCCCCCACCAATGAATCAGTTGCTGTGAAGCCAGTTTGACTACAAGCAAATAACCACCAGTTTGATCTTGTTCTTGCAGCACTTTGAGTATCTGACTGTTTTCATTTTGCCAGCCTCAAAGCATATTTGTGAGATGGCAAATATTATCACCGTGCTATTGATAAGGAAAATTATCCATCAAAAGGAACAGTGCAAAGCCTATTCACTTAATATGTGCAAGGGCTGCTCTGAAAGAAATGCTACTATTTTATTATGTTGCCACACAACATCAGAGGCAGGGGTTGGTGGGATGGCCATTAAGGTTGAACCTTCCCACTAGTTTTCTTTTACATTCTGTTGCTGTGTGACAGATGGCAGCAGAGAGGCAGTGTGACACAACGGCTTCTGACATGGAAGTGTGTACAGAGCAAAGGTGTGTCATTCAATTCCTCCATGCAGAAAAAATGGCACCTACTGATATCCATGAACACTTGCTGAACATTTATTTATGGGGACCAAGCAGTGGATGTGAGCACAGTGAAGTGGTGGGTGGTGTATTTCAGCAGTGGCAGTAGCAATGAGTGACAAACTATGTTCCAGATGGTCACAGCTATCACACCACAAAATGAAGAGAGCCTGAAACAGCTAATCCACATGAATCAGCAGATTATGACTGAGGAAACGTGTACAGAGCTGAACATCAAAGTTTCAATGCACTGGAAACGATGGTGGCAATGCTGGAATATCACAAAGTTTGCACTAAATCAATCCTATGAAAGCTCAAACAGGAACAGAAAGAGCAATGTATGCAAGTTTATCGGGACCTTTTGAATCAATACGAGGCTGAACATGACAGTTTCCTGGATTATATAATTACCAGTGACAAGATGTCCTGTCTGCACTGGGAGTCGAAGTCAAAATGATGGTCCATGGAGTGGTGAATTCCCCATCAAAGTTCAGAGTGCAACTCTCAGCAGATAAAGTGATGTGCACTGTCTTTTAGGATTGAAAAGAGCTGATCCTTCTGGATTTTCTGGAACCTGTAGAAACCAACAATTGTGATAACTTGCAACACTGACTAAGCTGAAGGCTCAAACTTCCAGAGTCAGGACAGAGAAGAAGACAATCTTTCTCTTGCAGCATGATAACACCAGGCTCCATGCCAGTTTGAAGATCACAGAACACATTATCAGTCCTGGCTGGACTATCCTACCACACTCACCATATAGTTCAGATTTGGTGCTTTCTGATTTCTATCTGTTCAAGCTGATGAGAGATGGAGTGCATGGGCAACGTTTTCCTAGCAACAACTCCATCACAGCAGCTGTGACACAAGTTGGTCACCTCCACTGGTGCAGTATGCAGGCTCTTGTACATTAGTGGTGTACGTGTATAGCTGATGGTGACGACTACATAGAAAAACAGCATTTTAGAGCTGAGAATCTGCACTATCGAATAGTGTTATTGCTCTCTTGTATCTGCTGCAGTTTCCACGGAAATAAATAGGAGGTATTACTTTCAGAGTGACCTACAAATTATTGAAATCTGAATTCTGTTGCAGTGCTGCAACACGGCTGTCATTTAACTATAAACCCCTCTGCTTTTATTTTCATTTAGGTTTTGTTCACTTGTTTATCCTGCTGCCCTCCTCAGGGTCATTAGAGCTGTACTGGAGCATGGGGAGAAGAATTGGTGCTCAGCCTCCCACATCACTTATTCGTTCTCCGAGAGTGTGTTTCTGCCAGCAGGATGTTTAGTGAGCCAGATTACATGATTTAATATTTTGCAGGAACTGTAATAACAAGACTAGAAGAAATGGCCAAAATGGTGCATCTTCCATTTTGACCAGTAGGTGAAGCTAAAGAGATTTATTGGACTTATTAGATGAAAATACTGTCATCCTGGTATTAATAAAACAGAAGGTTTTGGGTAGCACCGTGCAGTTATTTTTCTGTGTGAATTTATGAGTGCATTTAGGGAGAGTCGTTTTTCTTCACCTGGTTCTCTTTCCCTGGGAGTGAATGATGGCTGTGCCACTCCTGGTTGCGAGGCGAGAAGAGAGCAAACAGTTCATAAACGTAACTGCCTTCAGGAGGAGTCTTCATGTGTACAGAAAAGCTTTCTAACAGAGGGAACAGGCAAGGTGGGCAGGTTGTAAAACAAATAATTGCTGCTTAGAAAGTTGTCTTTGCTCGGTTTATACCTCACTTGCTGTCTGATACAGACCGAGTGGAAATATTTTCAGTGCAGTTATCTGGAAGTTTTTCTTAAGGACTTCTGCTTGTCTTCAGTGCACCGTATCAGTTATGTGCTCCCTTTGTGCCTGTTCTTCTGTTGACATCTACAGTCTTGCATAACAAAAATAAATCTGGACTGTTAGCTACAAATAAACTTAGACAGATTTAATTCTAATTGTCCGGATACAAGGAAAGATTCTTACTATTTTTTTATTGGTCTCAATACAGTATAGCTCAGGAAACTCTATAGTTCAGGAAGGGCTCCTTATAATTCAATTTAGAAAAAAAAGGAGAGGAAAGATTTTAATAAATTTACATTCAAAACCTGTGTCAGAGGAGAATCTGTAGGATTCTTCCGTAATGGCAATAAATCAGATGGTAACATTGGAACTAAAACACTTGTTTGTTATTAACAAATTACACTGAAATAACTTAATGCTGTTGCCTGCATATAATTGGGTCAAAGTAATGTATGGATCTTTCTTTAAAAAGAGGAGTGGTCTGAAAAGCTAAAACCCGTGCAAACTGAAAAATACACATATATAAATAAGAAATATATCCTTGAATCCGCGTTTTCTGCATTCTGTTCATCTCTGAAATCTAGTGTCTTTTGGAAACACGGCCTTGAATCTGCAAGTATCTGGAATTACAAGTTAACAAGCTTGTGTAGGTTAACTTAACTCTCTCTATGTGATTCTGCATTTATACAGGGAGGTTTGCACTTCTCTGTACAGTGCAACCCTGGTGGGACATTGTTAGTGGATTTTTGTTCTTTCTGTGACACTAATAGCCATTTTTCTATTTGCAAAATAGGTGGTTCACTTACATCATCAAATCTTTACAACAGCTACTAGTTAATGATTGCAAAATACTCAGAAGGCTTTAAAATGAGTGGTAAACAATGTTTGATTGATGTCATCAAATCAAGAACTGCATTAAGCACTGAATTTTACTCAATGCAGGAAAAAAAACTCTATAAATGCATTGACCACTGTTAGTTTGAAATCAAGCCACGTAATGCTGTGGCCCAGAGAGAATCAGAACTAAGAAGCTTGTCTCTTCACTTTAACAGCTTTTTTCCTACGAACAAAATTACATTTCCTAGTGAGCGATGTTTCTGGGGTGTTTATATTTCTTTCATACTTTGTATTACCCTGAAATAAGTGCTGAAATGTTACAAGTTGGTTAGTCTATTGTGTAATGGCAAGATTGACCAACTTCACCTGTGAGTTTTGGACAAAGGAAGCTTATTCCTGAAAATCTCTTTTATGGAATTCAGTGATACCCAATAGTTAACCGTGTGCTCAGGCACAGCAGTGCACTGGTGAATGAATAGATTATACAGTAACCTGAGAAATACAGTTTTGCCAAAAGAATGTGTCTTGTAACTGATAAGAATAGTAAACTTGTTCTACAGCAGGTTCTTCTGGTTCAGGATGACATAAGAGCGCATACAGATTGTGGTGGTGATGTTATTAACTTCACCCACTCAAGCAATGGTGTTAGTTATTACATGCTGTTTGTGCATATCACACCTTTATTCCAAGAAATGTAACTCCCAGGATGGCATGATGTTTCTAACTTCAGTGTATGCTGTTGTAATGAGTAGAGACAGCAGGGTCCACACTCATGACATTAAAGACAGAGAAAACACTTGAGGAAGAGAGGAACACAGCTCAAGGGTTTGAATCTCTCTCTAAATTTAGCAGAAAATAAATTTTGTTGATTTCAGCAGCAAGCCAGCTGGGCTTACATAACATAGTTAATAAATTAGCAAAATTCCAGGAAGTCAGACTCACTACTTTATAGGCTGGTAGTACTGCGTGTTCAAAACAAAGCCGTTAAACAATTCCCATTTGTATGACCCACTTCAGGGTCACAGCTGAAAGTGGTTCACTTACTAAGTGGAGAAAATGGCTGAGTCGAGTACCTCATGTAGCAGCAGGTTGTCATCAACTTCGGTGTGGAGATATAAATTACATTCAGATGCTTTTTTAAGGTAGAAAAAGATTGAAATGTAGTAATTTATATGTTGCTTTCTTTGACAGAAGCAACTTTGGATGCAGTGATGGAGAAGTTCTCTCTCATACTTTGATGCCAGTTGTAGTGCTTTACTTTTTGTTAGGAAGAGTTGGTTGCAAATCTCTGGTGCAGCAAGAAGAGATGGGTAGGAACTTTTTTTTTTTTTTTTTTTACCTTGGAAACTATTAGATGTAAAAAGCCTAGAAGTGTAGAAGTGAAGCCATTTATACATCAGACTCAATCAACATTAATACTTATTAATGCTTTTTGGTTTTGTTGTTGTTTTGTTTTGCTTTTAATATTGTCTGTGTTAGGTTATAATGAACTGGAGTAACTTGAATAGCCAGGTTTTTGTTGTTGTTGTTGTTTTATTTTCATCAGAAGTCAGTCATACTTTAAAAGCAAGGAAACAAATATTTGCTCTGGCTATAAATCATCAGAACAACTGCATATTTCATGTTTTCTTCTTATGCCATAGTTTTGTTGAACTGATTTTTGTGCCATTGTTTATGATTATATAATGTTTATATGTACCACAACCAAACAAGTAGTCCTCAGGACAAGTGAACAAATGAGCTTTTCATATGTTACAATTTAGGTTCTTACACAGCTTCTTAGATGTTTTGGAAAGCAATTCAATAATAATGGGAAACAAAATGTCATTTAAGGCATTTCTTCAGGATGTTTTTACAATCTGATGAGTATCATTCTGCTTTAAAAGTATATTTCAGACTTAAGCAATTTTCAACAGGATTAAAATGTCCTCATTTCCATTGGTTAGGTAGTAATTAAGAGCACAAGTACTGATAATGTAGTCTCAGAAGTTGCAGTTAGGAGAAAGGAGGATTTATGAGCAGAGAAGATCACATTTGGAATTAAATTTCTTAATTCCTTCCAGTTTTAGGCTTCACACTTGCTGTTCTGACATCATTTATGTCCCATTCTTCCTCTTCTCTTTTGGAATCGGTCAACTAATTGTTCATTATCACAGTGGTTTTGCATTAATTTAAGTGACTGCAGAAGTTGCATAGCAATTAAAAAAAAAAAAAAAAAAAGCCCAGGAAATCCTCAGAATGTGAAAAATGCATATTTGTTTCTTTCATTAAGGTTTCTGATGAAGTTTCATATGAGAAATAAGAGTTTTCTGTAGTTTGAAGTTCATTCTTTGATATCAGACTTTGTATTAAATGTTGCTGGAGTTGTAGAATTTGAATGTAGACTGGGAGAGAAGGTGTGAACTGTGCACCACAGAGATTCTGTCTAGAAAATATCTGTACTCCAGAGTGAGGAGATGCTTGGTCAGGATGATTGCCTCTGTTAAACCCAGAATAGTCATCACACAGAGCATTAGGGCTTTCTGCTTCTCATCTGCCCATTTTTCTTGACAAGCGTTTGCCTTGCCTAATTTCCTAAAAAAAAAAAAAAAAAAGAAAATTTTTATCTATAAAATCTTGACTGCAGAACAGTACGCAGGTTCTTCACGTGGCCTGTTCCAGTTCTGCTTACTTGTGCCAATATTTAAATCAACATTTTCTCTATACGAAGCCTGAGTAAATGGAATTACCTTCATTTTTTTTTTTCTGAAATTTTTCAGGAGTTTACTTTCATTTAATATGTTCCTATGAGTTTCTACTTGCACTGCAGTACATCTGATATCCTGGAAATGCATCGTTTCTGAAGTAACTGGGTTCTTTTCTCTTGCTTTGGATATGCTTTTTTCTGCGGGAGAAAAATGTAAACCTTCCAAAGATTGCTTAATCACTGTTTCAAAGTACAACTATAATTTCCCTTTCTCTCCATGGAGCATCATCTGTAGGCCGTTGCTCCCTGATATCTTGCTTTGGAAAGAGAAAGAATAGCTTAACCTTACTTTTAGGCACTTAGAAAAAACTGCAACCCAAATGCAGCAGCATTTACTGCTGAATTCCAACACTTTCCCCATCACTGCTGTCCCAGCTGGCTGCCTGTCAGGACTGACTCATCTTCTTTGGAATAAGGTGGTGTTCCCCAAAGTTGATGTTGTATCACTGTGATCTGACAGGAGGAGGAAAGGGAAAGATCGTGGAGAAATAGAAGTGTAGATGGAATAAGATGGTCAGATACCTTTTTAGCAAAATTAGCTCTAATTTGACACGTCAGTGTTGGTCTTTTAGATCTCATTAACACAGAGTTGAAGGGCAATACCCTGTGAAGTTAACTTTTGTACAGTATTTGCTGTGGTCTTACGGAATTGATTTTGTTGTATTATCCCATTCTATCTGGTTTAATTAAATGCAAAATGTACGTATCAGCTACTTTAGGTGGGGATGAAAGAGAACAGGAGGAAAAAAGGAAAGAGTTTTGAAGGGACTTTTACTCCTGCTTTATAAAAAAAAAACAAAAAACAAAAAAAAAAAAAGCAAAAACAAGGAATTCTTCTAAGGAACACTTCAGAAGTACTTAATTATGCATTGTACGCTCAGATTCTTCTATGGAAATTTTGCACCAGCTTTGAGACCAAGGAAACCTGTGCTTGAGCAATAAGGGGAGATAAGTTTCCTGTCCCTTAACCCATCACTACCCTCAGCCATCTAACATGGTCCTCTTAGTTCTCCTGGTGCTCCTGGCATGATACCTTCCTGCCAGGATTACTTCACACTATCAAAAAGACCCAAAAAATGTAACTTCTGAATGAAGCAGAACAAGTCTATCCCGGAATGTTACCCAGGTGCCACTGGACATTCCTTCAACAATACTGTGTGATTAGATCCTGATTAAGCTTTCCTTTGGTCTTTAATTGATATGGAGCTGTGCCCTACTTCATTGGTTGTTGTTTTAGCCTTTCTGGTTTTTCTTTCCATTTTGTATAAATAAGTAACTGTTCTCTTTGGGGCACTTTAGTTTAATATTCATATTTGGAGAACTGAAATTAGACTCAGCACATTCTGACAAAACCAGAGCTGTATAAAAGGTTTTTACATATAAAGGATCTTCTGGTCAGTTTCCAGTTCATCTTCAATTTTGCTGCTTCCTTTTGGACTTTTTCAGCATTGCTGAGTACCCACATGAACATCTGCAACATAATTTTGATCATAAGTGCTTTATAATCATACACGCTATAAATATTAGATTGTCTTTTAGAAGCCACTTCACTTTGATTTTGAATATTAAGTGGAACAAACAAAAAAAATTATTATTCAGACAATCACTCTAATTTCAGTGTCCTCATTTCTGGGCTAAAATGCAACTAAATTCTGCCATTGCCAGAGTTTGAAATACATAGTCTTCTAATTAAGTAGTATGCAGAACCACTCAAAGTGCTGGCAATAGGAACAGAAACTGGATTGAAATACATAGAAAACTCAAAAGATTTCTGAGTAGTTGGCTGAAAGCAGAAGAGAGAATTTCCCCAACCCTGTTGGGGCAATGAAAATACTTCTTGTGTGATATATTCAGAAAAAAAAAAAAGAGAGAAACAGATACGTGAAAAACAACTCCAGCAGCCATAGATGTAGATATCTGCCGTTTGCCAACTACACTTTTTCTGATCAAATGAGCTTCCAGTGCAGTGGGTCTGTAATTTGCCTCACCTCACCTTGCTAACCTTGATTAGCCTCCTAGATCTGGCATGCGAGTCTGTTGTCCATTCACATTTTAAGTACCCTTTACTTTCTTTTTCTCCAAAGTGGAAAATGCCCTATTGGCTCTTCCTGGGTTCTGTGTGCTATAGAAGTTACTTTGCTCAAGCAAAATTTCTATAGTCACACTTTATTTATGTTTCAGATGTCTTAATGTGGTTACATGGAAATGCTGGTTCCCTTATTCCACTACTGTTTTTAGACTGATTTCTATGGACCCAACAAGAAAACGAATAACTGGGTCAAGAATTCTTTGATGGTTTTAAGTCTTAAAAATGAATGTTTTTATCGCTATGGGGCAAGTTAGAATTGTAGAACCCAGGCGACACACGTTGTTGCTGCTTTATCTGATTACAGGTGTCATATCAAGGCATATTAAGTGCTTTTATAGATGAATAAGGCCTACTCTTCAGATGTAGAACATGCTGATTGCTAAAAAGTGACATGGAGGTATGTCAAATGAGTGAGTAAGAGGCAGCACAGCATGTGCATCTTACCATTTCCTACCTAGATTTTCTGGTATCTACACAATAGAGAATGGATTAGTAGCTTTCGGGAACTCAGGAAGGAAGATGGTCTAGAATTCTTAATATCCTTGTTCTTATATGCTTTCTGAATTGCCATTTTTCTATGAACAAAAAAAAAAAAAAAAAAAAAACCAACTTTTGCCTGTATGTAAGAACTTACTTTGGAGACTGACTTCAAAGAGCAGTGGTAGAGATACTTAACTGTTGTTTACTTTGTATTGTTTGCAGTTTTGTTCATGCCAGCGTAGACTCGTGTGACGTAGAGTTCTTTTTACTATTATTTAAAAAGAAATGTGAGTGTGGATTTGTTCCTAGACTGATTTTTAGAAGTCCTGCATCTGAGGAATAAATAGATGTTTTCTGATTTCAGAAAACATCTGTATTTAAAATACTGTCTTTAAATGTCAAGATGTTTAGTTCTAATTATTTCTTGTAATAACCACTTCCATTTCTGTACTGGACTAAAACCTATAGTTTTATGTCTCTTGTATTTGCTTTGAAAAGATAGGATCATAGAATTGTAAGTTTGAAAAAACCTCCAATGTCATCAAGTCCAATCATCTACTCATCATCACCGTGACCACCTAAAACACTTCTGGGAGATATAATGGCATTCACTGTCCATGTCTTGCACACCAAATTGTAAGGAAGGAACCTCAAGAATTTCTCATTTGAAGTCATGAAAACAAAAATCTGTCTGCTCTTTCAGATGATCTCTCCAGTCAGTCTCCAGTCTTGAAGTCAGATCTTGTCATTAGTGACTTTCACAAAGCTCTGTGCAGGTACATCTTCCCAGTATTTCCCAAGCTGAAAGTGGGAGTGAGCAGAGTAAAATTAATTACAGTGTTGGAAGATGGTAACGTTGCAGAATCTCTCTCTGACTACATTAATAAAAAATGCAGTGGGTCTGAAAGTAGCAAGAGTAGTTCTGGACATGCTGGCAGCTGTGATACTCATTGCATTTAGCCAGATTATTTGTCGCTCTCTTCATTTAAAGGAGCACGTAATAGGAGGAGCAAAGCAAACTCATTCTCAGAATGATGCTGAACACTTCCTCCAGCATTGCTATTTGCAAGGTGACATCTTCCTTCTTGAATAACATCCGATAATCATCCTTGTCTGTGTGTCTTGTATGTCAGCATATGCTGAGCTCACATCTATTTTGAAAGCAGTCTTAATAGCACAGCTGCAGCCCTGTGGAAGGTTGCACTGCCTGAACATGTCTCTGCACTCCTCCAGCTAAAGGAAAGTTCAGCAGCAGGCAGTATCATCCAGTCTGTCCTGGGGAGAGAGTCTTATAATTAACCTATTATTGCAAGATCTCTGGATTTCTTCCCCACGGAAAGAGAATCCTGGTGAGACATGAAAAATATGTCAATCTAATATAATAATAGAATAGTGAAGCCCTGTGGTCTAATGACGCATTAAAATTATGAAAAGCTCTTTTCTGTTTATCCCACACAAACTTGCACTCAAAAACATTATGTAACTGTTAATCCATAATACATTTATCTTGTCAGTTGAAAGACAGCAGTCTGCAGTGACCAGCGTTTCTTGAATGAAACAGTCCTTTAGGGCTCCTTTTTTTTCATTTTCTAGCAACTTGCTTTCATACTGCAAGCATTATTGCTCTAATATAGAATGTTACAGCATATTTTGAGGCTGCAGTCTATATCCTGCTAATCAGTGTAATTGCCTTCCTTATTCTTCTCAGCCTCCTTTCCCTTTTCCATTAGTGTTAACTGCCAGCGTGACCAGGCAGGAATTTCTATCCAGTATCACCAAAAACTGATAGAGCTCCCTAGCAGATAATTGCAAAGCAGATAAAGAACTTTGTGACTGAGGTTTTCTTAATATTCAGCTCACCTAGTAATGTTTATCTCCACATCCAAAACCTTCTCAGAATGGCTCTTTTTTTTTTTTTTTTTTGTGAATACCACATTGTCCATATAGGGCATCAAGAATACAATTGCTGCTGCATTCAATTAGGAAATACAATAAAAGTTTTGCAGTAAGAGAGTTAAGTATCAGAAGAGATTTCTGTTATTTAATGCCTTCCATGCCATACAGACAATGTAAAATGAAAATATCAGGTGAAAAGTTGGATGGATGTGTTCTTAAATGGAGTTCTCTATAATGCCCACATCTGCATGGAGGTGCTGCCTCTGTGCTTTTTTTTTTTTTCACAGTTCTCTTTTTCAGAAATAATCTCCACTCTGTCTGAAATATTGCCCTGAAATAAACTTTTCTGAAATATCCAAACAACCTTTGATAACAAGGTCTAGACCTCATCTCACTTAGTTCTTCAAGTTGCCTATGAGAAGGAATTATTTTTTAAACATGGGTCAGTCATCTTTAGTAAATAGAAAATGAGTCATAATTACATAAAAGTTTCCTGTGCATCTACAGGAAGGACAGAATTCCTGTCTCCAAAAGTCTTGCACATTTACAGTCAAGCCTGTTACTTTGCAGGAATGAGGTAACTTCAAAAGAGAAGTTGTTGTTCTCTTAACTGACTTTCTGGTGAGCTTTCTCTTACAATCAATGGTACCTTTTTTTAATGCAAAAATCTTCAGACAGGAGATAGCATGTAAACAAATACTAGTAAAGTGTGTGCCAGCTCATCCACCCTAGCTAAAAGATGGTCGTGTTTTTCTAAAGCAGTCTGCTTCTGTCCTATAGAAGAGAAGCTTCCTTTCATGTTGAATGAGATTGAACAGTAGCAGGGAGGACACTAGTTATGTAGACCATCCGTGAGGAATCAAGGAGCAATTCTACCACTGTCACCAGAAAGATGCAAGAGGAAAACATGTGCCATCAGTGGGCTCCAGCACTTCAATTCTAGTAAAGGGAAATTTCTCCCAAATGCCTTTGATAGCTTACATTTTCAGCACTTTGAAACTGAAGACAAACTTGAGGCACATAGAGGAAAAATGCCAAATTTGGCCAGCTGTGTGCTTGTTGTTGGACTACTGTTTTCCTTCTGGTTTGATTCTTGTTTAAGGTATTTCTCTTAATGGGAAAGTTCACCTCTTCTACAACAGTGCTTGCATATTTCTTCTGTGGAATAATATTTTTTTACAAGTAAACATAGGCCTGTCTGAGCAAGATTGATACAGATAAGTCATATGCTGATGTATTTCTGATAACGCTAAATCATTTGAGTAAGTTGAACTCCACCCTTAGGAAGGACTCAGCAGCATTCCTTCTCTACCTGCCCAGCACAAGTTCCAGCTTTTCGTTCCTCCCAATAAAAGGAAAAGAGAATCATCCTGTTTATCTCTAGCTTTCAAACACATCCTGATCCCCCAGATATCTTATGTTCTAGATAGGATTGAGTGCTGTCTGTGAAAGCTTACCACAAGGTAGGATAAATTGTGAGCACTCTGACTTTGCAGAATTTGTTCAGGGCAAAAACACAGCGCTAGCCTTAGCAATGGTGATGGTTTCATTCACTGATGAAATGGAGCAAGAATAAAATAAATGAGCCTTTCAAAACATGAATGGTAACCGTAGGCTGTATGAGATATAATTAATGTCTGCTTATTGCAATAAATACATTGCTGTTGTGTGCATGTGAAATGATAGAATGCTAAGTAGCAGTAGTAGTCAATATCTCAAACAGTATATTTTTCAGAGTACTGTTACAAAACTGTTAGACAAAATATTTTCATTTTCCATGAGTAAGATGGAACATTCTTTTTAATTAATAGAAGTTGGATGTTTTAATCTATGTGCAAAAGGCAAGGAAAAAACTTTTTAGTGACGTTGTTCCTTTGAATTACCTGATGATAATTGTTGTGAAATTGCACTCTTTACTGTAGAGAGAGTGTGATGTCAGTCCTCCTTTTCTTGTTAGTAAATTCTGATTCTTTTTTTCAACACCTTTTTGTCAACAGAGTGATAGTGTTTCTGTTCACAGGGAATAGTTCACATAAGTCTTTCAGCAAGCATCAGAAATCTTGAAAACTTGCTTAGACTTACATCTTTCCATTGTCTGATGGGAGATGCATCAAGGTTTTCATGCTTTGCTTATTGTTTTTCATGTTTCAGGAAGTTTGATGCAGGCTTGTGAAATAATGTGACTGCTGTGTCTAACCTGTGCTAACACTGGATACACATTTTTCATCTCAAACCTGAATATAACTGGATGTCTGCTTGTTACCTTTACTACAAGTAGGTTATAGTTTAATCACTTATGTTGCATGTTTTTCTCCAAACAGAGATATTTTGTCTTGCATTAACTTTTTGCATGTTTCTTCTTGGAGGTCAGAAAAGAGTGGCAAAACTCAACACAAACTGAGGTTAGGTTTGGTACACCTTCATCAAATCACTCTCTCTCTCTTTCCTACAGACCATCTCTGTCTTATAACACATTGCCTACACTTCATCTACGGTCTCAGTCCCATGGGGATGCTGCTTTTATTCCCTTTCAGCAAACCCTGTAGTCTGATAGCTGCCTTGGTGCTGATTGCCCTCATGCTCCTATACGAATATGGCCTACATGGATCAAGCATGCTTATAAACTGTTTTGCTTTCTAAGTACATGTTAACCCGTTATCACAATGACAACTGCTTACCATTGCAGTAGCTAAGTACATAAAGTGCATAAACCTTACTTGCTGCATGCTATTGCCACAACACATTTTAAATGTGTTAGTACAATTCAGTAGTCTATATTTCCCCCTCCCGTGACTAAATTGCATACATCTTTTTAAATATGGTTATGTTCTTTTCTTCTTTCTTTTTGTTTTTGTTTTTCCAAAGGAAATCACAGTGCATTCAGTAAAAGAAGGCATTTTGGAAGAGGAAGTTGAAAGCTGAGGGGAAAGGAAGACCCAACCTGTAATAAAGGTATAAACTGTTTCAAAGTACAGTATGTTTGAAATGGGTCTACTTAGAGTTGTACAGGCAACAGGTACAGATCTTCTTTATCTGTTTCAAACAAGGTTGCTCTTAAATAAAGTTTAAACCAGTGAATTAATCTAAATGACCATTGTCTAAGATTAAATAGTAGAAAAATCTCTATTTCCACCAGTTGAGGTGGGCTCAGTTCACAATTTTTGTTCAGAGGAACTGTGAAGTTGCACAAATCAATGCATCTTCTTGGGTTTTTTTTTTCACATTTGCTGCTTCAACTTTATAAGGCAACTCCTGGTCCCCCAAGCTCCTGCTGCTGAGTTGAGATTCTACTGTTGGATTGAGCATAATAGAACACTGCTGGAGCCTGAGTGTCCTGGCCATTCGATTGCAATTGCAGTTATGAATGTGTGAACAAGACAGAAAACAAGTGTTCAGAGATAACAGGATTAGTATTAGGAGATTGAATTCTTTTCTCTCTCTAGCGATTTTTTTTTTTTTAGTGCTGCTTGGCATTTTCCATTTAAATGAGCTTTCTATGAAGCTTCTAGAAAACTATTATAGGAATGTGTACAAGATTAAACTGATGTTGCAGTTCATTACTATCTGAGATTTGAGATTCGACACCTGAGTCTGTCTTTTCTTTAAGTGTGAAAAGAAAAACTATCGTAAAAAATTCTGAAACTCTTGAAGAAAAGTGCCTGAATATATTTGGTGGCGGTTTACAACTGAAGAAAATGGTACAGATTTTGTCATGGAAAAGCTGTTGTTCACATCTGTTAAACTGGTTTTATCTATGTTAGTTTGCTGTTATAGCACACAGAAAATGGAGATGGGCTTTCTTTTGCCTGGAGATAGAAATGGATTTTTCATTACCGAATATTTTGTTGCAACCCTTATTCCATGCATTCTCTGTAGAAAGCACTGAGTTCAAAGACTGAACGTGTAGTGGACTGAACGGTTGCATTGTTGTTTGTTTTAAACCTCTGCTAGCAAGATACGAAGTGAATTTTCTACCAGAAGCAAATTGGCTTTCAGTCCTTGTTGTGCATTTGTCTTTCAGCCTGATGTTCCTGCTGTGATGGCTTTGTCGGTAGACTCAGCTTTGTACCGTTGGCAGCGACTCGGAGCCAAAAGTGCCCCCCAGACTGTGTCAGAATCAACACCTCTGCTGTTTTCTGTCAGAGACAGACTGAAACTCAACTTAAACAAGTGGAGGATTGTGTTTTCCAACAATGGGAGACAGCAGAGAGGCTGGGACCAAGCTTCTAGGTTTTATTCTGGAAACAGGATACAGACTACAAAATACACATGGCTTACTTTTTTGCCCAAAAATCTTTTTAAGCAGTTTCACAGGTAAAAATAATCATCATCAAATGATGTATGAGATATAAGAATTCTTTCTGAAGCAGTGATATTTGGGGGTGATAAAGAGGGGCTGCTTCTGTAGCTACCATGTCTTTAAAATTTAGGTGAAGACTCTTTGTAAACAAATGTCACCTAATTCATACTGAAGTGGAGGCTTAAAGCAAATAAATGGTAGGTGTCCTAACCCACGTTGTGGCCACATTCAGTACCGGAGCAGCTTTCCTTGTAAAAATTTCAGGTTGCATATCAAGATAAGATATCAAGTTCCATATCCATCTCTAGGTTTGAAATTTCTGTTATCTTAGATCAAGTTATGAAGGTATAAATCTTCCATTTTCCACACATGGAATTTTCCATGGGTCCTTGAGTGAATCCCAATGTGAATTATGAACGTGAGTTTTCTATGCTCATCCTGTTGCACTGATTTATTTTTTGTGAGTTCTGAGGTTTTTAGGTTTTTTTTAGTTTGGGTTTGTTGTTTTGTTGTGTTGTTGTTTGGTGTGGTTTGGGGTTTTTTTGGGGGGAAGTGGGGGAGGTGGGTAATATTTTTTTTGTTTGCCTTTTGTTAGAATCTATGATTATTTTCAAAACTGAGTCTGTGGGGAATCATTAGAGAAGATTCAGCTCCTAGAGATTTTATATATATATATGTTTGTAATATGTGGAAAATTAAAGTAGCTATAATATTATGACAATATATTTCACAAGTTTTTCTAGAGGAAAAAATAAGCAACTCAGTTAAATAATTAATTATTTTGAGAAAGGATGAGGTTAGAGATGTGAAATGATTAATGCTCATGACATGAGATGAGGGATTTTCATCAGGAAATTACACCTTTAATTCCTTTATTGTATCTTTCTTTACAGGCTAGCTAATCTTTATTTCCTCTTCCTGGTGGTTCTAAACTGGTTCCCACAAATGGAAGTCTTCCACAGGGAGATTACTATGATTCCTCTGATCGTGGTGCTGCTTGCCAGTATGATTAAGGATGCTATTGAAGACTATAAAAAATACCAATTTGATAAGAAGATAAACTCCTCTAAAAGCAGGGTATATGATAAGTAAGTAGACCAAACCAATTATTCTCATTGTGTTTGATGTGGTGGAAACTGCTCATCTTGATTTTGCAACAATTCCCTTCCTGACTTTTTGGAGTACAGGAAGTTTAGAAGAGCTGTTATAAAAAGACTTTTGTTCTGCTTCAGAACATGCTTCATTTATCACTCAGAGTCAGAGTTATCCTGAGAAGTTTTGTTTTTTTTCTGTCACAAATCTGTGTGCTGATACCAGTTTTCATTCCAGGTTTTCAAACCAGTTTACCAACACACACTGTTATCTTCTCCCAGTAGCAGAAGGTTCTGGAGGAAGTCTGGAAAAGATCATTAGGCTTTTTTTACACACTGGAACAACATCTTTCAGAAATTTCATGATGAAACCATTAAAACAAAAATTAATGATCAACTGCATTTATGCATTGAAGGTGAAGCATAACCAGGAACTGAACGAATTTTATAGCATTTCCAGTTAGCATAGGTGATCAAAACAACACATTTTCACTCTGGAAGTGGTACAACACCCACTTGCAGTAAGCTGCGTTGTTTGCTCAGTACTGACTCAGAAGGAAGAAATATTTTCAAGTGCAATTCTTATTGCAACATTTCGATTTCATCAGAGTTTCTTGTCCAAGTACTAATTTGATTTGAGACTACATCACTTGCCTCTACATAACACAATAGGAGCTTTGCTTTAAAAGATGTTTAAATACTTGTGCCTCTTCCATTCTTCCATTTTTTTACATCTCCTTATGCCCAAGCCAATAGAGGAAAAATTACTGCGTAGCTTTTTTGGAAATTAACTCTCATCTGTGCTGATTACTTATGTGGCACAAGATCCAGTAGACCGAAAGAAATGAGAGTCTGCAAGGAGAAAAGGGTGAGAAAGGTCTGGGTGAGTCCTGAGGCCAGTCTAACAGGGGAGGAGCATCAGGCTGTGGGGCAAGCTGTGTAAACCGCCCTTAAATTGCCTGTGTATATGTATAATTCTTTCTACTAGAAATTTTTGTTCATATTAGAGAGTGGGGTGGGACAGGATGCTTGTTTGTTTGTTTGTTTTAATAAATGAAGTTATGGGCAAGAAAGCAAATAGTAAATAGAGGAGGTTGGAAAAGACGAATATTTTCTGTACAGAGGATCATAGTAATCTGTTGACTTCTGTACGCAGAGCTCTGCCCTTTACCTTTGAACTTCCTGGCTGCTAACACGCTTATAAAACGATTCAGAAACACTTGGAGTGAATGGTGAAAACTGCGTGTATGTCCTTAGTTTTGTCTGTGCAGTGTTAAAGCAGAGGTACTTCATGTGAGCAGACGCGTGATTCCAGGGAAATACTCTGGGGCCTCCAGGCATGCGGTAACAGGAATAACAAAACATTCAGGATGTTTTTCTCGTGTGTGACGTGCAGCCTTCCCGGCAAGCTTTAGGACCCAGGGCAGCTGGGTCAGGAAGGAAGATACCTGTTCCAGGGCAGGTGGATGCCAGAGTCAGCGAGAAGCAGCCCTGTGCTCCGACAGCTTGAGTATTCCCTCCACCACTTTGGAGTTTATCTTGGTTATTGAACTCTTCTAACTTCATTAGCCTTTGACTTGAGGCTACTTTTTGAGAGGACAGCAAGATGTCACGGAGAAGTTTTCCAGGCTGCTTCTCTAAGATGGTATGGAAAAAACATTTTTTCAAGGAAACCTGCTGTCGATGCGTTGCTTCAGACACAGAAACCCAAAATGAAGTGCTGGGGAAGAGAGGAAAATTAAAGAAAAGAAGGAAGAAAAATGAAAATAAGCGAGTGATCAAGTCCAATTTGTGTTTCGGAAGTACGAATTGGAAGGAAAATCCAAACAGATACTATGACTCCAATAAAATTAAGACCACGAAATACAGCATCTTGACTTTCTTCCCTAAAAACATCTATGAGCAGCTTCACCGCTTTGCCAATATTTATTTTGTGGTCATTGCACTGCTGAATTTTGTGCCAGTGGTAAATGCTTTCCAACCAGAAGTTTCTTTGATCCCTATTTGTGTTATAATGGCTATGACAGCCATTAAAGATGCTTGGGAAGACTTTCGGCGGTATAAACTAGACAAAGAAATCAATCATATGGGTTGTTACATTTACAGCAGGTGAGTTTTTTACAGCTTTTATTGTGGAAAATGTTGGCTTGAGATCTTTTATCACTTGTGAGGTTTGTTGGTTAAAATATTAATAAATGCCTGCTAAAAAAATCACAGTGATTAAGTGAAATGTGTAAAGTTGCAGTGACTAGGTAACACTGGTACTTGGTCTGATAACAGGAAAGATGTTCCTATTTTGCTTATATCTATTGTTCAGACTGGGAAGGAAAGCTTTTGTTTCATGGCTCTGTTGTGGCTATCGGCCTCTTAGACACGGAGTGTTTAAAAAGTGTCCGAGCCCTGGAGTTCTAAGGAATTTTCAACAGGACTAAATTCTATCAATATAGTACAGAACAAGATTTGCACAATCAATATAGCACAGAACAAGTTCTGTCATGCAAATGGGTCCTTGTTTGCTTAGAACCCAAGAAACCTTTGAAAAATGTAGCTAAGTGCTTTGAACTAATTTCAGTTTTATACTCTAAATTGTAGGCTGCCTTCCAGTTGTGTTTTTTTATTTTTTGGTTTTTTTGCCAGGTTGTATGTAAAACAAAACTGCATGTAAATGTATTTTTAAAAAATGAGATGATAACACGTACCTCTGTTTGATCTTCTCTAAATGAATTATCTACAAATATCTGTGACATTTTCAAAATGTTTCGTGACTTAGTAAGTTTAGGACTCTTTGTTGTATCAAAACTGTTATCAACGTAGAAAATGACTTCTGCCTGCTTAAATATCACACAGGGTGCCAACAGAGCAAAACTTTTAATTTACCTGAACTTTATTTGTCATGCCTCCAATTAATCAACAGTGCTTTATATAGTGTATGTTCTCACAAGCAGGATCTTGTAGAACTCTAGCTTTTATCACAGAGTTCTGTCATTGCTGTTTCTCTTGCATGTGTTTGCCAGATTTTTATTTTTATATCCTGCTGGTTAAACAGAGAAATAATGGATTTGCTTACTTACCCCCGCATGGAGGTAATGACTTGTCAGAAATAAAATCTCTGCTCTTTTTGCTAACTTATCTGGAAAAGCGGACATTTTACAAGTTTCTAAATATTGAACATATAAGACTTTTTTTCTCTTCCATCATGAAGACTGTTAGTAATTCTAATTCTTTGGATAGGTACCTGAATTGCTCCTATCTTTGAGGCTGCCGGAGTTGCATTAATCCATGGAGCAACGAATTATTTGTTAACTCTTGTTAAGACAGGGAATAGTAGGTGATGCAGTAGGTACTAATGAATTATTGGCATGGAAACACTACTTCCTCTTGACATAAAGCACAAAAAGACTTTTAGCTTGAGTAAATGAGAAGTAGAGAATACAATATGAAAAATTAAAAAATTAAAAATTAAAGAAAAATGTACATTGTGGCATTACAATGTACATAAAGATCCAGATCCAAATTGTAGCCCTGTGTACTTTCTCATGCAGAAAGATGAGACAGCCCATCTTAACATTGCTCATCCTATTTCATAGGAAGGTCTTTGATCTATGAATAAATCTTGTGTCTCACCAGACTCTTATGGCCCAAAACAGTGATGTAAGGGAAAGAAAAATAAGGAAGCCTTCAGACTCTACTATTCATTCTATCTGGAAAAAGTGTTGACAATTATGATTGCCGTCAGATCTGTAGTTACAGCTTATTATATCATGAATAATTTTAATCAGGCTTCTATAGCTCTTTGGGAAGCTGGTATGTCTTGTTCTTCTTGCTAGCTGCAAAGTCATGGAAGAGTATGATGTCTTCTAATTTTCCTCCTTGTGAATCATCTGTCATAGGTAATTTTTTAACACAAGTGAAAGTCTTTCAGGGGACTGTGAATCTTGTTAATCTTGTGACACCAAAGAATCCTTTGTAATAGAATAACTCATCTTCCATCATAAGATGAAAATTTAATTAGATTTAAAGTATTAATCTTGGAGTGTAAATTGTCTTTATTTCAGATTTCAGTAACAAGAATTCTAGTTCCTGTTCCTTAAAACATACAAAGTGCACTCTCTTTTCTGAAAGCCAGATGTCCTCCAAAACTTTCTTGAACATCAGAGGAAATGCTGTAACTGTCTTTTTTCAGCATGGAGCAAGGGAAATTGAATTCAAGTAGACTGCCCTGTAAACACATTACTTCTAATTTTCTTTTCCCAGAGGTCAGCTGGAATGGCTAATCTAGCCTGCTAGTCAAATGAAGGAAAAGGCACTTCAAGTAGTATACTTAAAGAATGCTTCATTGGAGGAAAAAAAAAAAAAAAAAAGGAAACAATAATATCGAAGTATCTTGGGCAATTGCAATACCTTAGATCTGATGTTTGATTGCAAACATTTAACTTTCTGATTAAAAAGTTTTTGTTTCATAAATTGTGTACAGACTTATACCGCCAGATTACATCGCACTACACCAAAATATGAGAACAAAATTATACTTGCTTCTTCTGTCTTGGTATTCTTTTAATTATACTTAGTCTTCTGTTAAATATACCTGGTCTGTTTTTAAATTTTTGTAGGAATGAGGCTTCTAGCACTACAGTATGTGATTATCAAAGCATTTTCTATGATATTCTGCTTTATTATCCTTCTTTAATTGCATTAAAATTCCTCAAGTGACCTGGTTTCATGCAACCCTAATTATTCTTCATCATCAACATTTAATTATGGTGTTCATGCATGTGTAATTTCTATCATCTTCATTTTGCTACTCTCAGACAGCTTTTAGGCAAGATATGTATACAGAACACCCTTTTAATCTGTCTTGTCAGTCAGTCCCTCCACTCCTATTTTGGTTACTTTTCTCTGAAGTCTCTTGAGTTTGTCCCTAACTAACTATCAGTGGCCACCACTGAGTGTAGTATATAGATCTGTAAGTGAATGTCAAACCAATAGTTACTAAAAGC